ATTTAATTATTATTTTTTAATTTAGATATTATTTATATTTAAGTATTTCTGTATTAAACATACGAAAACCTTAACTGCAACTTTAAAATTAAAATAAAAACACAAAATATAGAAAAAAACTGTTTCAAAATATTAAGAGTATATCAAAGATACATCATGAATTGATAATTAATTGATAATTGATTATATACATATATATATATAGAGAGAGAGAGAGAGAGCATAATAAATGCAATTATTTATTTAATTATTTTTTATGTAATTATATTTATTTCTTTTAAAATAATTAATAAAATTACTTTTTATATTATGTTTTTTTTTCTATTATAAAAAATGATGGAAGAATAAATAAAATATTTTAACCAAATTTAATCCTATCAACAAATAATGTATTTAATTGTTAATATAATTATTATAGTTAATGTAATTAATTATTGTTTATATTATATATTTTTCTAATATTAAAATTGAGCCAAAAATATAGTAACTTTACCAAACTTTTTTAACAATTGTGCCACAAACAGCTCAGAAAAAATGATAAATACAAAAAAACCATACAGACAACATTCACAATCAATACTTAATTATTTAAATTGTAAATAAATAATTAATATAAGTATAATAACCCTATGTGTGTGGAAATATGTGTGTAAACATACATATTTATTATATCAAGTCAAGTGCAATGCATTATTATACCTCCAGAAAAACTGCACACTGTCTCCTCAGAAATAGTATGCAGTGTGTGATTATGAAGGTCCCTCAGATTCAGTCGTGAACACAGAAAGAGCTTCCAGAGTTAGTCTGGTCTGGATCTGCTGATGGTTTAATTCCAGAGCGGCTCTGAATGGACAGATGGAGATCAGAAAGGGCAGCGTGTCCTCGGTGTGGAGATGAGTCAGTGACGCAAAAGAAGTTCATTCCACAAGCAGCAAATGTGAAGAACTGCTTCCGTTTGAGATCTTTCCAAATAATTAGGATGAGAAATGTGAGTCATGTGACCAGAAGAGAAGCCAGCTGATGTCCTGAACGGAACAGAATTGGATCATAATTACGTTTTTTGAAAGTTTAGTTGTATTTATATTTTTTTCTGAGCTGATTGTCGCACAATTATATATTTAAAAAAAACGTAAATTTTTTGAAAATAAATTATATAATATAAATTATATCATCTAAATAACAATGCATTACATTAACTACGTTAATTATATTAAC